TTATTTTGTGTATTATTTTGTATGCCACACACTCAGATGAATCAGTGAACCATTTCAGAACAAACCGATTCAATTCATTAAATTGTTATCTGCCTTTTTGATTTTTACCTCAGTTCGATATCACTAGAAAAAAAAAAGTTTTGTTCTGCTTTTATTTTTAATGTTTTTTTAAAAGCTGAATACAAAAATCACAAAAAAACAGTGGTCATGAAAACTATAAAAAAATATGTTGACAACTTATACAAGCTAATCTGTTATTACTCATAATAAAAATGACATGGTACATCTATAATACTTAATAATAATAATTACAATAGTTATATAATACTATATAATGTAATATATTATAATAATAGAGAACAACAACAGTTTACCATAAACACTTGCCAAAAGTGAGGCATCGAAAACTTCAGGAGTGTATGTTGCAAGATTTTTGTCTTTTGTGACTGGAATGTTCCAGAATATTCCAGAATGTTACAGAAACTTCCAGAATGTTCCCATCCTTACAAAAGCAAAATAAAGCAGAAAAACTAGTACAAAATTAGCACAAAAACTTATCTGTACTAAACCAACATTTCATAATTAATGAAAAGTTTGAAAATTTCCCTGACCTAAATATTTACCAAAATATTGATGGTACGTGAAAATAAATGGTACATTAATAATTAGCACGACAGGATTAGCATTAAAGAAGGACCATAAAACATTTAAGTTCTGTCATGACAACTCTCGGAGGGATTGGCATGGTAATGTACATGACAATGTTAATGTATTTGGTCTTGGCGGAATAGATCTGCTACGCTGCTGCTGCTGCAGAGCAAGTACCGAGACTTGCTACTGCCAATACATCCACAACATGCTGCTGTGAGTGCGAGTGCGAGTGTGAGTGCGTGCGAGTGTGTGCGTGTGTGTGAGCGAGAGTTTGAGCGAGTGCAAGTGTGTGTGTGTGAGTGTGTGCGTGAGTGTGCGTGTGTGAGTGCGAGTGTGTGTGTGTGCGAGTTTGTGTGTGTGTGAGTGTGTAAGCGAGTGAGCGAGTGCAAGTGAGTGTGAGTGTGCGAGTGAGTGAGTGTGTGTGTGCGTGTGTGTGCGTGTGTGTGCGTGTGTGTGCGCGTGTGTGAGTGAGTGTGAGTGTGTGAGTGTGTGTAAAGTTTGACTCTGTTACAGAAATAGAAACGGGCTCTGCAAGATCAAAACCTAGTGTTTTTGTGAAGTGATTTCAGAAGTGTTTTGCAGATGTGTGTGTGTGTGTGTGTACATGTTTTTCTATCCTGGTTGGGACTTAAACCTGAATACACACCAACTCATGGGGACTTGTGTCACCGTGGGGACCTAAATTGAGGTCCCCATGGGTACAGAAGCTTATAAATCAAACAGAATGAGGTTTTTTTTTTAGAAAAAAATGCAGAACGTTTTGTGTGAGTCGTAGGTTTAGGTGTAGGGCGATATAAAATACAATTTGTACCGCATAAAAACCATTGCGCCTATGGAGAGTCCCTACAAGGATAGTGAACCAGACGTGTGTGTGTGTGTGTGTGTGTGTGTGTGGGCGAGCATGCGGAGCTGCAGCGGCAGGAGAGCGCAGACAGTCACTCGTTCCAGCAGGGTGATAAGGTCAAGTGTCTGCTGGAGGTGGAGATCCTCAGACAGATGCAGGAGGGTCACGGCGGCTGGAACCCAAAAATGGCGGAGGTGAAAAATCAGTTGTATTTTCTTCTTAGTTAATGTTCCTGATCGTCCTGTGCAAGATTTCATCAGGGAACTTCATTTCAAAGAAAATTTTGTAACTGTGTTTTTGTAAGTCTTTGCATTGACTTGACCTCTGTTTAGTTGTGATAGCATCTCAGTCCACATTGTGTTCACACTGGTGATTTAGGAAGCAAAACTATTGGAATATAATAATAAAATGCTTTATTATTATTATTAGAATTATTATTCCCAAGACATTAATTTATTACTTTTGTAATACAGCTGCACTATAAACTAAATGTAAAAAAAGAGTATTTCATATTCAGTATATTCATTGTTTTTATAGTAAAATTGCAAAACTTATGTCTTAATTTCTTCATGTGTGAATGGTATACCCTCAAGCTTTCATCTTAGCAGAAAACAGGTTTACAAACACCTCATTACAAAGCTAGTGAAATGCTGTAATCATCTGTCCAAAAAAGTGTTGAAAGTGAATAAAATGTGGTTAAAAAAAATAAAGTAAAAATGTGATGGGACAAAAAGTAATGAAAATAATGTCACAATGCAAAAAAAAAACAAAAAACTTTATGGCCCCAAAATAGACATCATTGTATTTATGTCCAAAATAATTTCTACAATTTTTTTTTTTTCATTTTGAAATAATTTTGGTGATTGATTGATTGTTTTATTTATTTTTTAGTGAGACTGACCAATCAGAATGAAAGTTAATAGCATGTGTCTTACAGAGCCAGCATTTGACTCACAGTTGTGACTAAAAATAGATGTGTGCAAACTCTACAATATATTTAGGAGCATGTGTGCTAATGAGTTTCTTAAATTGTATAAAAAACATCTTAGTTATCATTTTAGGAGCTCTTATGATTTGGGGATGGAAAAACAGGAATCACAAAACAACCTAATAGTATTATTGAACTTCAAAGGGCTATGATTTATCAATATGCATAGTTTTTTTCTGGTTAATATTGGTAATTTGGTACCACACAGTTGACACAAACTGTATCTGGAATTTAATTCAGTGTAAAATTTTGTATTTTTTGTTTGAGCTCTCTTTCTTCTATTTCTCCATTTTTCACATTTTCAGTTTGATGTGCTCTTAAACTTTTCAGCTGTTTTTTGGGGAAAAAGTAATCTTATCAGTCTCAGTCTTATTTTGTGAAGTGCTTCTGAAGTTGTTGTCAGTGCTTGTGTTTGACTGTGTTGGCAGTACATCTCCAGAATCGGCACCGTGCACAGAATAACGGACCGCGGGGACGTGCGAGTCCAGTACAGTAACAACATCCGCTGGACCTTCCACCCCGGAGCCCTGACCAAGGCAAGCCCATGCCTCACAGAAACCGGCCGCATGCACGAAAACCTTCTTAAGAAATAAGTTTCTTCAGATAAATTCAAAAACGTTCGTAAGAATGTTCCTAAGTGCAATTCTTAAAAAGTTCTTAAATATGTGACCCTGGAGCACAAAACCAGTCATAAGGCTCAATTTCTCGAAATTGAGATTTATATATCACATGAAAGCTGAATAAATAAGCTTTCCATTGGTGTATGGTTTGTTAGGATAGGACAATATTTGGCCGAGATACAACTATTTGAAAATCTGGAATCTGACGGTGCAAAAAAAAAATCTAAATATTAAGAAAATCATCTTTAAAGTTGTCCAAATGAAGTTCTTAGCAATGCACATTACTAATCAAAATTAAGTTTTGATATATTTATGGTAGGGCTGGGCGATAAATCATTAATGATAATTATCGCACGATATAGATTTCCTCGATAAACGATAACAAGAGTTCGATAAATGTTTGATATAATGCGGCAAAGGCGGAACAAAAGAGCGCTAGTCATTTGCGCGCCACTCTGAGCGTTTATCCGCTCGGATCAAAGTTCAAACAGCGGCGCGAGCTTCACTAGAGCAGATGTGTTTACTCGCTGACGCGACACTGAACAGCGCTGTGAGATCCAGTGTGAAGTGCTTGAGTTCAGCGAGGAACACAATAACTCTGTTTACAGCCGGATGAAAGCGCTGACAAACAGCAGAAACACTGGGCAACGATACAGTCAGAAGACTTTTTAATCTACAAATCGCCATCATTTACTATGGATTTACTGTAGTAGCACTAACTGCACCGTGGTATTGTGTCAGAAATGTGGGAATTCATGTCGAATTTTAATATATTATTAATGTAGACATGTATTAAATGTATTGAAGGAGGAGTAATGGAATATAATTACAGTATTTTTTGTGATTAAGCTATAGCGTTTATGCATTTATAAATGCATAAACGCTATAGCTTAATCACAAAAAATACTGTAATTATATTCCATTACTCCTCCTTCAATACATTTAATACATGTCTACATTAATAATATATTAAAATTCGACATGAATTCCCACATTTCTGACACAATACCACGGTGCAGTTAGTGCTACTACAGTAAATCCATAGTAAATGATGGCGATTTGTAGATTAAAAAGTCTTCTGACTGTATCGTTGCCCAGTGTTTCTGCTGTTTGTCAGCGCTTTCATCCGGCTGTAAACAGAGTTATTGTGTTCCTCGCTGAACTCAAGCACTTCACACTGGATCTCACAGCGCTGTTCAGTGTCGCGTCAGCGAGTAAACACATCTGCTCTAGTGAAGCTCGCGCCGCTGTTTGAACTTTGATCCGAGCGGATAAACGCTCAGAGTGGCGCGCAAATGACTAGCGCTCTTTTGTTCCGCCTTTGCCGCATTATATCAAACATTTATCGAACTCTTGTTATCGTTTATCGAGGAAATCTATATCGTGCGATAATTATCATTAATGATTTATCGCCCAGCCCTACCATAAATATATCAAAACTTAATTTTGATTAGTAATGTGCATTGCTAAGAACTTCATTTGGACAACTTTAAAGATGATTTATCAAATATATATATAGGGTTCAACGGGGCTGAAGTCACACCTTAAGAAAAAATGTGCCAAAAAATATATACGTTGTATTGAACATTAATGGAGCAACAGATTTTGTGTGAAAATAAATCATTCAAGTTGTGGCAACACAAACTTGTTTCTTGATTTGAAACAATATTACTCATTCCTAGAACATGCAGAACTAAGACATTATTTTTTTCTATTAAGATATTTATTTTGTTAATGACTGGAGAATTCAGAAACGTGAAAAAAACATTCAAAAAAGTGTTTGTCGTGTTCTGACCATAAAGAATAGTTGAAAACCACAATTAACCGTCTGGTTTTTACAACTTTCACATTGGAGCAAAAATCTGCCTTTTAACTTGAAAGAAATACAAATTTTACATTTATCGTGATAATTATAAATATCGACTCATATGGAAAAAAAAAATATCGGGATCTTTTTGGTCATATCGCCCAGCCCTAATTTACAGTATGAAATTTACAAAATCTCTTCATGGAACATGATCTTTACTTAATATCCTAATGATTTTTGGCATAAAAGAAAAATCAATAATTTTGACCCATACAATGTATTGTTGGCTATTGCTACAAATATACCCCAGCGACTTAAGCCTGCTTTTGTGCTCCAGGGTCACAAATGTTCTTAAGAACATCCTGTTTTTATCTGATTGAATAAATCAGCTTCAGCTCTTGCTGAAGATTCACTGATAAACTAAATGACAAACATTTCAAGGATTGTGTTATCGCACTGCCTGCAGAGTACAGTAATAATCACAATAAGCACGCACGTTATTTTTGTCGTGACTGGCTCAAATGCAGCGATCTTTTTCCTTCATCTGCGCAGTCTTCTTGCGCTCTCCATGTGTGTGTGTACGCTACTACAGTAAACTCGTCCTGTGTATGGCTGCGTTCATATGCACTTATACTGCCTTATTTATAGGCTAATATTAAATACGAGCTTTCTCCCTATCTGAGTCGTTTTTGTAGAGTTGTTACTAGAGCCCGACCGATATGGGTTTTTGGGGCCGATACCGATATTAGGGAGTATCGGCCGATCGATATATCGGCCGATATTCTTTGTGTATATTTTAGTACAGTACCAGTCAAAAGTTTGGACAATTTCCCATTCGAGGGTCCAAACATTTGACTGGTACTATATATAGAATACAGTATATACATAAACAGAATATATATACATACATTTTTTTTGCATTGATCACACAAATGTGGTGATCAAACACTTATAATGACGTGACAAAGATACGTAATGGAGGCAGGGAATTTAACAATAAACTTTATTATCCAAAATGAGTCTGACATCAGTGCACTGAACAGTAAAGTTGAAGTTTATTCAACTTTAATTCAATTCAATTCCATTCAACTTTATTCCTTTGAAGTTTATTTCACTTCGAAACATTCATTCATGGATTTGCGCTACTGTCTTCACACATAGACAAAACTTACTAGAGAAGTGTGAAGTGTGACATAATATACCTCTGTAAATAAATACAAAATAAATTCACGTCTCGCATACTTTAATGCCCTTTGAATGTAACGTGTATGTTCCCTTGGAACTGGAATCATGGCGGAATTTCATGTGAAGTCCACTTCGCAGGGCACTTACGGTCGAATAAGACAACGCTTGAATGCTGCTGCCTGAACAAGAGACCTCCTTACTGAAGTGAATGTGTTGACTGGTGTCACGATCCCTTCAGCTCGATGAGCCCTCTCGAACGCCACCCTCCGCGCGTCGGTAGCCCCCCGGGATCGCTTGATCGGTCGGCGCCGGACCGCGAATTTAACCACCCGTAACTCCCGAACCCTGGGGGCTATTGACGCGGGGGTGGTCTCATTCGAAAGCGGGCCTCTAGATGTACACTCGATTCACATTCGAGAGGGTTCCTCGAGCTGAAGGGATCCCCCGAATTTGGTGCGGATTCGCCGCGCCGTTACGGAGATATGGCCGTTCAAAGTTTCAATGGTTTTCCATAGACTTAAGCTTTAAAGCGTTTCATCCAGGTGGCCAGTAGCAAACAATGGAGCACGCTCTGCTGGACAAACGAAGTAATTACACCATTTCAAGCATTTTATCTGCGTTTATATGTTCTGTAAAAAAAAATTCTTATCGGCGGCATATTCGCCGATACCGATATATCGGCGACAGGCTCATATCGGCCGATAATATCGGCAAAACGATATGTGTCGGGCTCTAGTTGTTACTGAACTTTGAACTCATGAAAGGCACATCAGGCGTAATCCTGACCAATCATTGTTTATATTATCAGTCACTGGTGTGTCAGAAAACTCGTGCACATCGCTGTTAATAATCCTACTGCATATTATATGTCGTTAGTATTGCTGTAATGCTTAAATATGACAGTTAATATTTATTTGAATTGATATAACCCAATAAATTCATTAAATCATTCTCACCATTTGGGATTTAAGACAAGTCTGAGGTTATCCGAACTTTAAGAAGTTATTTACGATGATTTTTAAGAAGACTCTTTTCAAGAATTTGAATTCTTCTTAACTTTTGTCTTAAGAGCAATCTTATAAGAATATTCTTAAGAATAACTTTTGGGAATACAAGCTATTCTTGACTTGTTTTTCTTAAGTTAGAAGACATTTCTTCTTGAGAATGTTTGGTGGATCCGGTCCCAGCTCGCCATGTTCGCCTGTGAAGTGTTTGTTCAGGCCGGCTGTACATCAGTCTGTTTTTATGGCCTGTTTATATTTAGCTACGCTACCGTTCTCGTCATGAAGCCTGCTTTGTTTGTACAGAAAGCAGGCCATAAATAGATAGCCGTGGCTGTTTCTGTCTGCTTAAGTGGCAGATTGTGAGGTCTGGGCTGGTGATTAGCTGCAGCCTCGGACGACTTTGCCGGATTGGTCTTTAGGAAGCGTGTGTTCCTGTAATAGAGTGGTGTGTGTGCAGGTGAACACGTTTGCCGTGGGTGAGCTGGTGAAGGTGCTGGATGACACTGACAGTGTGAAGAGACTCCAGGTGGGCCATGGAGAGTGGACAGACAGCATGGCTCCAGTAGGTTCCTCTACAACACACACGACTTGGACTGAAGATCACATTTAATTGTGCCAGTGAATAAACTAACTTCCACAAAGTTTTTGTGACTGGTTAAGTTTTTAAACAGATGTTTAAAAAAAAAAAATTACCTGAATGCATTTTAGTTTTTTTTTGTCTAGTATTAACCTTAAAGTGATAGTTCACCCAAAAATGAAAATTAGCCCATGATTTACTCACCCTCAAGGCATCCTAGGAGTGTATGACTTTCTTCTTTCAGACGAATCCAATCGGAGTTATATTAAAAAATGTCATGGCTCTTCCAAGCTTTATAATGGCAGTGAATGGGTGTTATTTTTCAATAGTCCAAGAGAAGTCCAATAAAGCGCATCCATCATAAAAATTGCCTCACATGGCTCTGGGGGTGAATAAAGGTCTCCTGAAGCGAATCGATGCGTTTGTGTAAGAAACACATCCATATTTAAAACTTTATAAACCGTAATCTGTAGACTGTACCAGTCTAGCTTCCGCTAACTGTCATACACGCGTTCATTCCAGCAGATGACGTAGGCGTAGCGTAAGCTCCGGTGAGAATATGCTAGTCTCCCAGTGTTTTGTTTTGATCTCTCCGCTGCGCTTCCACATTAGACACTTCTCACCGGAGCTTACGCTACGCCTACGTCATCCGCCACAATGAACGCGCGTACAACAGTTAGCGGAAGCTAGAGATTACAGTTTATAAAATTTTAAATATGGATATGTTTCTTACACAAACGCATCGATTCACTTCAGGAGGCCTTTGTTCACCCCCAGAGCCGTGTGGGACACTTTTTATGATGGATGGATGCGCTTTATTGGACTTCTTTTGGACTATTGAAACATAACACCCATTCACTGCCATAATAAAGCTTGGAAGAGCCAAGACATTTTTTAATATAACTCTGATTGGATTCGTCTTAAAGAAGAAAGTCATACACCCCTAAGATGCCTTGAGGGTGAGTAAATCATGGGCTAATTTAAATTTTTGGGTGAACTATCGTTTAAATGTCTCGTATAGCTTCTTTTTAATTGTAAATGGCTATTGTTATTTATTCTGCTTTCGCCATGAAGATAGCCTTGCTGCTGACATGGTGTTAATAAATAAATACATTTATTGGAGTTTTAAATGAGAAACAGGAAGAGCAGCAGTTTTGAGAAAAGAAAATGCAAATGTTAAAAATAGATTTGCAGTTCCATTGCTAAATCATGAGAGAATTACAGCAATAAATTAAAAACAAATAAACAAATACTAAAAATGAACAAAAAAAAAAGTGCCATATTTCATTGATTCTTTTATGACCAGCCAGTCAGTAACTACACAGATTTAAGCTATTTATGTTTGCTTCACTAAAATGAAACCAATTAATATATGATTGTTTTAATTTGTTATGTATATTTAATTATTTTAAATTATATTTTTTTATAAGTATTTTAAATTAGCAGTTTTATAAATTAACTTTTATAGTTGTATAATTATAATTTTATAATTTATAATAAATTCAGTATTTCATGTAGTTCGTTTTTTTTATTTGTTGAAATTTGTAAAATCAGTGCTGTAATTCTGGCATCATGGTAGCACTGATTAACTGATTGACCTTCTAGCATTCAGATGACGTGTGTGTCTGTGTCTCTCTGTCTGTATCTGTGTGTATGTGTGTGTATGTGTGTGTATGTGTCTCTCTCTCTGTGTGTGTGTGTGTGTGTGTGTGTGTGTGTGTCTCTCTCTCT